GTGCTGTATTGCTCCTCCTTCACCTGGAGAACTCCCTTGTGAAACTCCCTGTTAGCAGCCCCTGTTCGCAAAACTCCTAACTCACTTCTCATCTCCATTTCGTACCATGTAACCCTTTCTCAAAGTACTAGTACCTAACTACAGTGTTTCTCACTAAGCTTAGGGAGTGGATTGCATGGTGATGACTTGATGTATAACAGTTTCTATAGATGTTGGAAATGTTAATTGTAAAATAATTTAATTTTTAATCTGTTGCCTTTTAAAATGACTCTTTTATATAGCAGTTGTTATATTTTCAAAGTACCATGCCAGCTGTTTACTTTGTTTACCTCTATAAAAAGGTAAGTTGTCATTTTTCAATTTTATAGATGGGGAAACTGGGAGCAGAGAGGTTGAGCAACTTACCTCATTTCACATAGCAAGTGAGAGGCAAGTAAAGGGTTAGAATTTAGGAGTTCTTGGCTCCTAATCCCATTATTGGTTCACTAAATCACACTGATTTACCAGCTAAGAATTACCTTTTGCATTTTCTTTTAGAAGCTCCTTTACTTTGAGGACTTTAGTGCAGTTGAGGGAGTGTTAAATAAAAGCTAAATATAGGAGTGCATGCACAACTTGATCCATAGGTCTGCATCCACAAAGTTTCCTTTCACTTTATGATATGTCCTTAAGAGCTCTCTAAAAAATAAAAACATGTTTTCTTGGTGATTTCATGCTTCTGTTATTTCCTCCTCAGAGAAGATCAAGTCTGGAGGTTTTCTGACTACATCTGAAATTGTAGGGATGATCAATTTGTTTAAGAAACCTTGTAAGTACACAAACTGGTTTTGTGGATTCTGAAGCATACAATGTTCTGTAAGTCAAACGTGCGTTGTTAATTTTTTGTGGTTTAGCTGTGAGTACTCCCAGTGAATGGCTGATTGAAGGCATAGTGTGCTGTGCTTCATGTTTGTAAATTTGAGCTGCTGCTAATTTATGTGTTGCTTTCCTTCATTTTCATCGGGTCTTTAATAAAAAAAAAAGTGTGTGTATGAACTAGAGTCAAATCCAAATGCAAGAGTAATAGAGGGCATGTTCTTCCATTATTCTATTTGCATTTTTGTAGGCAACTAGCATCAGGGGGAGCTATCTTCACCTTGATGGGAGATCTTAATCCTCATTATTTCTGTTTCATAGCTGCAATCTATACCTGTCTATAATCTATATTTTTCTGTTGTCTTTTGAATTGGCTCTTTTGACCTATGAAGGTACAGAATTCATGTATTTGCGGGCTAGAAGATAACTTTGGTGAGGAATGTGAAAGTAAGTAGTGTGTGTGTGTGTGTGTGTGTGTGTGTGTGTGTGTATTTCGGATCATCCTGGTTATTTTTCAGCATCAGCAAAGATTATTTTTAAAAGCTTTCCTTTGAAATTCAATTGCTATTGGATTTTTCTGTATTGTCAAATGGTACCATCTCTTAACTGCGCTGATATTCAATGATAAAAATGGAATGATACTAACTATAGTTTTTATCTGCTACATGGGATTTGCAGGGATTATTTGACAAATGTAATATTAACTTGATTTATGTGAACTGAAGAGGCACCAATGGTATTAGATTTGTGTCTGTGTAATTATTAGGCATTATATGATTCACTAATGATGCGTTAAATGTGTTATCTTTTTTCCTAATATTTTTTTCTGACCAAACTGCTGTTTAAATGAACAAGATTTGTTTTCAATAAAAGCCAATGGATAATGTTTTTATATTCTAAAGGACACGGCATAACATTTCAGGCTTTCCTGATGTACGTGAACAATGATTCACAAGCAAGTCAAACAATAGCACTCTGTTTTCATTAGATTAGATGAAGCTTCACCTGAGCCTGCATGCTTGAAAATCCACCAGAGGGAAAAAGAATTTTTATTTAACTCACATTTTACCATATGGAATAATGAAGTAAATCCCACTGTAACTAGCTGTCAGGTCAAACCTTTCATCAGGGAAATAAAGAACAAATGAGTGAGTACATTGAGATCTTGAGCACTGAACATCTTATATAACCAGGTCTAATTATACATTCAAAGGATAGCAGAAGTAGAGAGAGACAGACATACAACATTAGGAGGGAAATCATTTAGGAAGAAGACCCAAATTATTTGACATCTGAATTATTTGAAATACCTGGCCAGCTCTGTATTGTAATATATTAATAGATCATATGCTCATTTGATTAGCAATTCACTGAGAAAAACAGAACAGACTTATAGTATAAAGAAGTTTTTCCTTTGTGAATATGTGTGGGAGTACAATATGTTCGTTCAGAACAAAGGAAAGGATTTACTCATGTCAAATTTTCAGACTTTTTTAGGTTTCCTCTTGTTCCATAGTCAAGACAACTTTGCCATTAGCATTGTGGGAAGGAAACTGCCTTCCTTTTGTTGTGTGACTTTACATTACAGTGTTAGCTATTACTAGTTATGGGACTTATTGAGATTTCCTCTGAGACCTCTTTCCACTTGGATTCCCAAGAACTCAGCTCAGGCCTAACCTGCAAATTCCAGATCCAAACTTTCTCAGACTTAGGAATGTTTGAATCCAGGGTTTGGTTTGTGATTACGCACTTGCTACAAACTTACCACTGAAATAATGATTGTCTTATCTTCTATCACACGTTTGGCATAGATTATTGGATCACATCTCCTATAAAAACTGCCAGATACCTGGCAGCCAGCCATGAGCCACATTCAAGGATAGATTAATTTTCCTGAGAGTCACCATCTCTTTTTCTGATGTAGGAAATGTATATCCTGAGGTACCTCCTACTTTGAGAGAGAGAGACATAAATTGGGTTTGCATCCCTCATCTGACCCATACACTTTGAGTCCTGTGAGTGGTATAAGGGTAGAAGTTCTTGTGGAAAGGTAGATAGAACTACCACATAGCAATCTTCTGTTGTTGAAATATAACCCAGGTAACTGGCATGAAGCATCCTTTGAATGCCTCAGGCTTGCGTCTCTTTCATTAGTCCAGAATGGGTGTTGGTGTTAGAACATGACTGTTACCATTCCCCAGACCTTCCTTGATCCAGTCTCTGGTCGCTCCAGACCTTCCCATCTTGCATCTATTTAGCACACATAGAATATATATATGAAATAGCACTTGAGTTGACCATAACACCAAATAAATGATAAATGGATGATAAAATGAACCAATTGGCTACAGTTTTGAACTGCTGTATGTGATACTGCCACTTGCTAACCAAGTTCTTACGCAAATAACATGTTGACCATGACTTGTCCTTGTCTACACTTTAAGGTCATGGTCATCATTGCATTGGCAAACGTGATTGTTTAGAATTGTGTTTAAAAACCTATTGAATTCCCAAGTGCGGATGGTCACAAGGGACATGAGCAGTCTCGGTCCCTAAACTCGGAGCAGCACAGAGACTGCTCCCTTTTGTCACCACTATAGCTGCACATCCTTCCAAAGAGAGTGGGAAGAGATGGATGGAGGTGGGAGCTGTGCCTCTTCCTTCAGCTTTGCAACAGCCCACACATCAGGCCACGCACACCCAAGGGATCAGACTGCACACCAAGGAGCTTCTGGGGTGTTTGTGCCTCTTTAAGGCAAAATTCCTTACACACACACACACACACACACACACACACACACATCTAGTGTGATTCAAAAGGGGGAGGAAGTTTGGTTTAAATCAAAAGTGAGGAAAGCCCCTCGTAGTGAGAAACATTAGAGATGATGCTTCTCTCCCCCACGGTGCTGCAGCCCAGCAACTGAAGATGACTGCCATCATTTATTCTTTCATATAATCACAGAGCCTGTTTTTAAAGAAAAAGAGGGAGGGGTGAGGGAAGCATGAGCTTAACTTACATTACAGATAAATATTCCATTACCTTACTCATACCGTAACCATCTTTGCACTGTTACCTCAGATAACTGACACTGCAGACATTTTCTCACAGTATCAGGACTAATGCAGTTATGCAGAACATCAAGGGGTCTTCCCCAAAATGCAGTAGGAAATCTGATGAGCTCTGGCATAGTAATCTGATGTTAATAACTGGGAAAACAAGAACATTGAAATGATCGTTCTCTTTGGAAATAACTTTCTTTAAAGTAAAATGTTAATTTCCCTCCCTCTACAAGTAATGATTGAGATGGCTGCCTACAATGCAAGGTGACTACAGCTGTTGTTTTGATGTTCAAACTTGACAAATCTTTCCGAAGTGGTGGTGTGAGGAAGACCTCCATATCAAACAGTGCAAGCTGGATTTGCTGCTTGATGTACCTCAGCTTTAAAATGCACGAAAAAGAGAGGTGTGTTCATCTGTCCAGAGTAGCCAGTCACACAGCTGAGAAGGATTCCTTTGCTATTGTTCATTTCTTTTTAGTAGCTTGTTCATTTCCACCCATCTCACTTTTTGTATTGAACGTAAATTTTTAGCATTTGCATGCAGTGTTGTTGTAACCCACACACCTCCTGGGTGTGGTGTTCTGTCCCATCTAGTGGCACCAAGACCACAGAGAGAGAGTAAAATTAATCTGCTCTACAGCTTTAACTAACAGCCAGTTGGCTCTTAGCTCGTGCAGTAGAGGCTCATGCACTAAGCTCCAGAGGTCCCCAGTTCAATCCCGCCTGCTGATGACCGGGGTCTGTTGGTGTTACAAGTGGGGGCTCGTATCCACAGTTTTATTGTACTAGTTTCATTCAATCCAAAAAATATTGAAACAAAATCTGATATCCAATTATAACCCTGTTGAAACACAAACCAGTGTTCTCATTGGTTGACTAGTGTTTCTCTTGGAGGAACTGATCCTATCATATGCTGAACATCTCCTGTGAGGTACTGAATCCCCTCAACTCTCATTGAAGTCCATTGGAGTTGAGAGCACTGGGCACCTCATACTATCATGTCCATAGAGAGTCGAGATAGAGGCTGCTGGTGTAATCACCTGGGAACACCAGGAGTAATGATGGTGTCTGTCCTAGGAAGCAAAGAGCCTAGCAATGTAGAACCTGTAATTTGCACCTCCAGTTGTCTATCTAATGTCCATATCTAAGATACATGTTACTGTGGTGTCTTAGAACCTGTAGTGCATTAATTTCCCTTGACAATAGATACATTTAACTGTCCCTACTGATCATTATAGGACCTGCATGGAAGATTATATCCTTTTATTAGTGTACTGAGTCCTTCCTACATCCTCTCTTAAGCTATCATGATTTCTGTGTTATACAATTGTAGGTTCACAAAAACATAGGGCTGGAAGGGACCTCGTGAGGTCATCAAGTCCAGTCCCCTATGCTGAGGCAAGTAAATCTAGATCATCCCTGACAGGTGTTTGTCCAGCCTGTTCTTAAAATCCTCCAATGAGATGGGGATTCTACAACCTCCCTTGGATGCCTATTCCAGAATTTAACTAGCATTATATTTAGAAAGTTTTTTCTAATACTAACCTAGCTCTCCATTGCTGCAGATTTAGCCCATGACATCTTGTCCTACCTTCAGTGGACATGGGGAATAATTCATCACTGTCCTCTTTATAACAGTGCTTAACAAATTTGAAGACTGTTATATCAAATAAAATAAATTACAATGAATGTTGGTGATGCTGAAGAGAAAGCACTGGCTGTCTCCTTTGGCATTCAGATGTAATTGGGTCCAACTTTTATTCCTAAATGTAAGGCATTTTACTAGTGTAATGGTATTAACGATTTGTAACCCACACAACAAAGAAACTCTGCATAATTAGCATGATTTATCACAATGGCAAACTTTGCCTAGAACTAAGCTGGCATGGAAAT